TTGTTGTCTTTGTTTTGGTGTCTCCCCAGATCCTATGTCGTTCGTCGCACCTTGTTTATTACCTGTTCGGTTCCTGTTGTTGTCTTTGTTTTGGTGTCTCCCCAGATTCTATGTCGTTCGTCGTCCCTTGTTTATTACCTGTTCGGTTTCCGTTGTTGTTTTTGTTTTGGTGTCTCCCCAGATCCTATGTCGTTAGTCGTACCTTGTTTATTACCTGTTCGGTTCCCGTTGTTGTCTTTGTTTTGGTGTCTCTCCAGATCCTATGTTGTTCGTCGTACCTTGTTTATTACCTGTTCTGTTCCTGTTGTTGTCTTTGTTTTGGTGTCTCCCCAGATCCTGTGTCGTTCGTCGTACCTTGTTTATTACCTGTTCTGTTCCTTTTGTTGTTCCCCAGATCCTATGTCGTTCGTCGTACCTTGTTTATTACCTGTTCTGTTCCTTTTGTTGTCTTTGTTTTGGTGTCCCCCCAGATCCTATGTCGTTCGTCGTTCCTTGTTTATTACCTGTTCGGTTCCTGTTGTTGTTTTCTTTTCATATGGCTTATCACTGGTTAATTTTGTATGTCTTTCTGTTTTTGGGTCTATTCGGTTTGTTTACTTTTCGTATGTGTGTTGACGATTTAATATTCGATACAACGCCCCATTACATTTTTCACCTCTCTTACCGCCAATATAGTTCATGATTCTCATTCCCTTTTTTTAGGAATTTATTTATTTATATACCTCGATCTATTACCAAGTCTATTTATATCTTAAACTTTGTTTGACAACTGATGGCATTGTAACTATATGTAACTAAATGTATGTTTCTATTATTTTACCTTGGATAAAGACGGAGATTAGCGACTCTACAGGAAGTTCTTCGCGCGTTTTTCAGATCCATATTTTATTGATGACGTTATGTGGATAAGTATTTATTATTGCGGATTTATCACACGATGCATTATAAACAATGTGCCCAGAACTTAATTCTTCAAACAACACCAGTCAATTTTCATATATTTCTCCAGATGGCAATTTGAAAATTGAGTTACCAACTTTGAGGTATGCATAAACGGGCTTGGAGCCACTGAACCCTGATAGGCTGAAAACATACCTTGATTTTGAATGTCTCTTTATGATTTTATTTATTTATTATTTGTTACTTGATATCACAATGGAGCAATGGTTCGGCCTGATGATATACACTAGCTTTCATATTATGACTGTGATTTGTCTCCGATTTATCTCCCTTAATGTTTTAATTGATTAATTAGCATTGCCTACTAGTAAAATGTCTTCACTGTTATCCATGTGTGCAGTATTGCGCTTGTACAGACGTGTCATAAGTGTATGAAATTTTAATCGTCTTTCATTTCATGTTCTTTTACAGAAACCTTGGTATAAAACGCCTTTGGACAGGAGGCTTTACTTGCACAGTAAGGTAGGCTATAACCTTAAGTCTAAATAATACTTGTTTTATGAGCCTGTGGTCGATATAGTAAATAGTAGATTCACAGCTTCTTAAAATATGTGATTTTAATATGTTATTTATTATTTTTATCGTCCTCCTGTAGCGAACACTGTGAAGTAATACCTACACTTCTACACCTAATATCCACAAATTGTCTCTATCTTCGCCAGTATTCCTATCTCTTAAATCTCCAGGTTTTATGGTCTTGTATTTATTATCAAGATGTTGTTTTATTTTATTAGAATTTAACACGAATTTGACGAATATTTCATGCTCTTTAAAATAAATGAATATGCACTGCGCTAGACTGAAAAATAACGGGGAGTCTGTCAGACACCAGAAATAGCTGTGTAGTTTGAAGCATTAATCATAACCATGGTTTTAAGATAAAGAGAGTTGCGGATTTATTTGGTATGCAGAAGCCGTCTATATGTCATGGCTGGAATTAGGAAGAATTGGAACTCCGTTCTAAAATTTGAAAAGATGAATTCCCTTTTTTTTTTCTTCTTGCATTTTTTATGCATTTTTATTCTGTAAATAACTTTCGAGATTAAAGATTCAAGTTTTCAAATTAGATACTTGACATTTGAGCCGACGTTTACGAAACATTGAAACATTTCACTATAAGAAAAAAATATTACAAAATGAAGCATACTGTTTCTTATTTCCTGAATTTATATTCTAGAACCATGATATAAAGCATAAAAAATGGCGCTTAAAAGGTTTTTGGTGATATATCAAAGGATACTGATACAGAAATCGTTAAGAAAAAAAACAGGAAAATGGGACCTTGAAATATATTGCCAATACACGAAATGGCATACAGCGTGAGGGGACAAAAATCGAGAATTTACTGTATGGTGAAACGAGAGGCGTTTTAACTAGGCTTTTTCTGTAGTGACAAACAAGGACCGTTAAATCGATATTTCACTAGCGTGACAAATTAGGGCATTATATCGAGGCAATATTGTAAAGATTCAAACGAGGGGCGTTATATCGAAGTTTTACTGTATATTACAAATACGGGGCATTGTATCGAAGTTTTAATTTTATACTGTCATACAAGGGGCATTAAATAGAGATTTTACTGTAGATTATTTTAGTTGCAATAGATGTGCTTGAACATACAGGTTTCTGGTTAAAAAGGCGTTAAATCTGCAGGCAACATTACATTCTTAAAGGTCAAAGGTCGCCTAAAGTAATGCGATGCATCCTGCTGTATATGAATATCGAATTATAAGTTACGATTGTTCTGCTCACCATCTCGGGTCTCGTCTATATTTTCCTGTTCGTACAATAATTGTAATACGCTGATGCGGAAAGATTGTATGCACTGCAAACCTGGGTATGCAGAATAAAGCGCTTATCTGTTGCAGACTTTTAGAATCTGCATAATATCAATATCGCTAAAGTACATATCTGTATATAGGTCACCATAGTAACTAGAAGTGTGAAGACGAGATTATTTCATACGTGATACTGAGACGTAAGTTTGTAAACAAATATTATATCGGTTGTGGTGATAATAAAGGCAAAAGGAGAGATTTTTTCAAACACACAACCATGTAGGAAATACGGAGATGTAGGTTTATAAATAAATATTTTATACGTCATAGTGAAATTACGGGCAAAATGAGAGATTATTTCATAGTACGACTATGTAGGAAATACGGAGATTCAGGTTTATAAATAAATATTTTATACGTCATAGTGAAAATAAAGGCAAGATGAGAGATTATTTCATACGTAGAACTATGTAGGAAATATGGAGACGTAAGTTTGGGAATAAAATATTGTATTTATACGATATGATGAGCATATACAAAACAGAGATAAGCATTTTATCGTTCAAGCAAATTTATTATCAAATATATACAAATATTAAACAAATAAACAAAATCACAAATAATATCACAATGCGGAATATGTTCTCACGTCTTTAAGAGGTAGTTCATACCTCTCTGTCGAAAAATGGCCGGCATCTGCTGACAAAGTACTTTTTTATCACGATGCATAGATGTACCAACACCGGAATTTGCTATTCTGCTAGTATTTTATTTGAATAGAAAATACCAAATTGAATGTTAAACACGAGACATAGGAAGATTCCCTTGCTTTCGCTTTGTTAACCTGATAGAACAGAATAACGAAACACAGTTATAAATGCTAACAGGGCAATGTCTTTGAGCCACATACATGATGATGCAGTCTGCTTCTCCACTTTGGTATAAGGACATAAATGAAATCCCGTTTGTATTTTTTTGAACAACACTTTTTCTTGTGTGTTTTTTTAAATTGTCTTTCGTTTTACAGTAACAAAATGGCGGCCGCGATGAAAGCAGACGACATTAAGGTTTCTGTATTTGATGGAAACTAATCTCAATACAGTCAGAAATGTTTTATGAAAAATGGCCCCGAAAATGGCCGTACGACTTCGAGTGGGATATATAGAAGAGCTAGATACATGTAGTCGTTTAAACTGCTACAAAATAACTTAGAGCCAACTTTTAAAAAAAAACACTTATTTGTTTAGCTCTATCCAAATAAATTATTAACGGGAAAAAACATAAGAAAGCTTATGTGTAATACTAATACAAATACCGGCAAAATGTCAAAATTATCATTTATTTATATATATTATGAATGAAATGTACACACTGTCATGTGAAATAAAATAAAATAAAGCAGCATGTTTGAAATAAAGAAAAGTGTCAGCAGCTCAACACAAGAGAACAAAATAAAAATGGTCAATAGTCTTGATTTTAAGTTCTTTCTAAGATTTAAACATGTAGATTTATGTTATAGTATATGATAAATGATAATTTGTTATGTTTGTTTAGTTCTTATATATTTTTTTAACAATCTATTCTGCCACTGTGTATATTCCCTTTCTGCCGAGTAATGCCGTCTTAAGTTGCCGGAGCAATTTTAGCCGTTAGAAGTATTATAACAAGAGTGTTTACAGCCTTACACTATCTGGAAAAATTCCATTCTAATGACTTCGGCAAACAAGGTATCGCCAAATGGAAACAGATGCTTTTTATTGTTATAGTCCCGTGGACAACTATAGTGTTTCCGTTCAATTGATTGAACTTGCTTTTCATGAAATTGTACCGAAAGTATTGAATAAAATGCAATCATAAACATTAACAAGTAAATATTACCACAGCATCATCCCAAAGTGAAGGCTTCAAGCGAAATTAGTGAATACGAAACGACGGCTTTGTTCGACAAGAGTTACTACGAAACAACGGCTTCGTCTGACATGCATTGATTTCGTCTGATATGAGTTAATTCGGCGAAATGAGTAAATATAACACGTATCAGAGTGTACACATTGTACAGAGCTTGTAGCTTGTTACTTTTCCCAGTATCACAGGAATTTAGACTGGAAAGGCCGAATGCATTTAACCGTAATCAATAGAATCATCAGGAATTATAATTTTTGATTTCGATAAGATTCTTGGAAATTGGGCGTTAACTAAACGCATCACGTGGGCGCGTGACACTCTTCGGTTGTAATGACGTAGTCCAACAATGGAAATAAATAATGGATGAGGTCGATATGACCAATGAGGTACAAAACTATAACTTCAGTAAATTTTGCTAATTCTTTTCTCTGACACCGTAATATATTTATATCTATTTACATTAATTTCTTCACTGTTTACCTTAAACTAGATCATCTATCATGTGAAATAGTTCACATGTTACTTTTTGTATAAAAGTACGAAATTTCGTTGTAAATGGATAAATGAAAAATCCCATTAACGATATTTTTACACTTAAAACATAAAATGGTATTATCAGAAACGATAACAGGTGTGGACAGGTTCACCTAAGACACGCATAGGCGAGAGAAAAAACAACCTATAGGGTATCATTTTTAAATATGATCCGTGTCTATTGGTCCTGAATGTAACAAATACACATTCCATGGAAATCCGGTTCGAAAATCGCCCCACTGGTTTGCCAATGTAAATTATCTCAACCAATCAGAGATCACCATCCACTGACATTTTGTTGGGTCGACATTCCTTACATTTCACGTCGAGAGTTTGATGAACAAAAGAAGACTAACCTTTATAAGTCAGTCATTTCTAGAACATATAACTGCACAACTCCAAAAGTTTTCATAAACAGGAAGTCACAGACCGGAAGTAGTTATTTGTATCGGCGCCATGAGCGACTGTGTGCAGGACGAGATATAACGGGATTTGGCCCTTTACACGTATGAATATCAACCCAACGTCGACATTCCTTACATTTCACGTGGCAACACCAGTGAAATTTACACTCGCATTTCTCAACCAAGATGGCGGTTTTTGTGTCATAGCCACGCCCACAACACATGATGTCACATCCGTCCGTCCCCATCGACGTCTTGTTACAAGCTCGCCCAGCCGTACCGAATGACCCTGAAACGATAGCAAGCAAGAATGCTTATAAAATTATCTCAATATATAAATAATAAAATCATATTAAATATCATATAAAATAGGCAGGTATAAAATTTTTTTAGAACAAACGACCAACTAAAAAAACTAGCTTGCTACAATAAGGACTACAGCTATTGTAATTCCAGATATTATCTGGTTACACAATTGATACGACTTTATCATCTACAATTTAAATAGGAAGCAATGTACTTAAATTGTTCTATAACAGCTATGTAACGAGATTAATAAAATCTATTACTGAGCGAGATTGGGTTATCTCAGTCGAAGGTTAAGATTCTGTAACAAAATCCCAACCAAGGCGTAAGCCGAGGTTGGGATGTTACAGAATCTTAGCCCGAGACTGAGGTAACCCGATCTTTCTCAGTTACCGGTAATTGATTTTTTTTCTCGCACCTTTTAGCTCGAAAAAAACCCTATTCAATTTTGCTAAAAACTTCAAGTATCCCGCATTGGGCCTCTTCACTACTTAAGCTACATTTGAATGCTTCCGCGTAAAAATGTAGTCCGTCCTTACATAGATTACAACGTATTTCACAGTGTAGATTTTATTTTCTCTACAACATTAAATATCTAACAACATCAAAACTATAAATATAATGACAAAAAAGAACATTTATAATGCAAATTGTCATTTTAAGCAGTTAACACGCGGATGAATACATCACAGTGTAAAAATTCCACGAAATGTCACGTAAAGGTACAAGTTAGATCGGAAGAGATAGAAAAATCTAGCATGGGGTATGAAGTGGGATATCACTGTCTGAGGTGAGAGAAATATTAGTAACAGTTAATGGTACTGAAAACAATACATATGCAGACGTACTTAATAACTATTGTAAAAACCTAGAACAGTGTTTAAGGAATCCATGGAACTCAAACATGAACATCCAGCTATATTCATACAATGGTATGGATTCATGAAGGCTGGTACATCACGATAGCTGGTCGAGGGTAACTAACGTTAACACACAGACAGTAGCACAGCTGAAAGACGTACACAAACAGAGAGACAGAGCATAACTCGTCGTTACAAAGCATCGATCCGATGCAGACTAGTTTGAAATATTATATCTTCTATATTAAAGATTCTAACTCTCGAAGACCTCACGCAGGACTCGAATTTAAGGCTATTCCTTTGGGATACCAACTTATGCTTTCTGGTATTCCGTCTCAAACTACCCTCTGTTTCTGGTCTAATTTTACTCTGTTCGATTGTTTAAAATTATTGATAATATGTTTCAGTATCATCCGAGAACAAGACACCAGACGTTCTTAATTTATTTAACTCCTACTTTAGAATTTACATAAACTTATGGGATATTAAATTATTGTTCAAATTACCAGATGTTGATTTTTTAGGTTACGGTGTAGAATACCTTATTTTCCATTAGATTCTAACACTGCATTGGCAAAAGAAATAATGTGTGCTGCTTGGTTTTACTTTTGTATCAATGTATACTGCCAAACGCTACAAACTATGTCAAAACAACTTATTTCCCTTCAAATTGATTGCCATTATGTTGAATAGAACAGTGTTTTGATAGGGGAAGCAGATCAATTTTTAGACTCTCCAATGTTTCCTTGGTAGAAGTCACGGTTGGAAACCTCAGGACATATACGATAGATAGTATTATTTCTCCACTTGTACAGGTTTATGATTCTGTCCATTTTCCATTCATGTTTTTGGCTGTGAAACTGTATACCTACATAATATACCATTGTAATGTGTGATATATGACACTGAAATTAAACAACATTGACTTGAATTGATTGCCTATGTTATCCTGTTAGCTAAAATATTATTTAAACTGAACCTTAAAAAAGAAGATATAGAAAGAAGGTAATTGGGCACTATATAAGATATAAATATAATTTTTAGGACCACTCTCCTGTATGTACACGTGCTCAATATGTTGTCAGAATCACGCGCATGAACGTTTTGTGTTGTGTCCGTGTGGAAGGCGGAATGTTTGGCAGTCATAAAATGGTGTATGTTATTAGAAGCTAAATGAAATTGATCTCGTGCTGTCTTTTATTATCTCCGATGAGCTTCAAGCTAAGTAGGGTTTTTTCGTTAGAATCGTGGTTTGTGAGTGAAACCATCCAGCCAGTAAGAACGTCGAACATAACAGGTGTTTTCAAACAGGTATATTATCATATATCTGATTCGTGTAAGTAATGGAAATATTTTCTTTGTCGATGGCATGTTGCTTTTTAAAACAAAAGTGTGATATTTCACACCTAGTGATTAGGTTGTTAAGCTGAGTTGTGACAGTCGTTAACCGGTGTGGTTTATACCGTGGCAAGAACCTGCGGGAAATAACCCGTCAAATGATGCACTTTCTTTGCAGATTTAGTTTGTTTACTTTTTAATTTTTCAATCATACATCTGTCTATTTTTAATAGGGATGTACTGACTGTGGCGATACAAACTAGGAAAACGAAGAAGAATCAAAACAAAAGAATCGATTATTTTTATTCATATATTCATTTTATTTATCTATTTATTTATTTTGTTATCAATTTTTGTATTATAATGATTTTTGTTTGTTATTGCAGATGGTCCCGTAATACAGGTTCAGGTAAGATAAAAAAAAAAGTGAAAGTGTTCTTTGAATATATGTAGCATTTTAATAGAGGTTGTATATTAAGCATGCTTGACTGTACCATCCATTGTATTGACAGTTTTGAAACAGAAAATATATTTCATGTTTATTTATTACTGGCATTTTTTATGAGGATTCTGAATCGAACCACAAATCAATTTCTCTCTCCGAATTTCCTAGGTTGTAATTCGATAGGCAGAACTTTGGTAGACTGGCTGAGGAAAACCCCAAACATTCCGATAATAACGAGGCTACTGATATTATTATATTTAAACATATTGTTTCTGTCCGCAACCGAAGTTTACGACATTCGTTTTTTATCTTATTGTCAATACGTCATTCCTATCTGATGGTAATAATGGAATCTGTCTCGTACATTGCTACGATTAGTTATAAATCAGGGTTTATTTGATGTTTTTATTATATAAAAACTAACTTTTGAAACGTAAGTTACGGGAAAGTAATCTGTCTGTGAGAATTTTCCCTCGTAAAACATATATAATGGTGTACAGCTCTAGAAAAGAAAAACAATGTCCAAACGTAATTTCTGATATTCGAATTATTTCCCCTGAAGAGGTCAATTCCCTTATAAATTACAAATTGAAATGGTTTTATTTCAAATGCGTATCTATGGAATGGAGAATTAACATATTTCGACCAATGTTATGTTTGTTAAAAGCTATATTTGCCATTTGTCTAAACTGCTGGTATTTAAATAACCGGGAAGAAAAAAAACTTTTAGCTGATAAACAATTTTCAACAACAGTAATGTTGCCCCTCGAAAACGTTGAAAACGTTTAAATTGAGTGTTGGTGAGCGCTTCCGAATCTTTGAGGAAGTTTGTTACTGTATAAGCTTTAGTTTCTTTTGCTTAATGTCCTATTAATATAATCCTTGTTTCGCTATGGGGACATTTACAATATGATAATGAAACAAAATTATTCATGACAACCGGCATAATAAATAAATACTTTCACAGCAGTAAACAGCAACACGTAGACAAAATATTGTAACATAGAGTTATCTTAAGTAAACAATTACTAAAAGTATGAAACAATTTGTTCCATATATTTGTTATATTTCATATTTGTCAGAAGCGAATATTTTATTTAACAAATAATACAAAAAGTCATTCTTGATATAACTGTATTTAGCTACCAAACAAACACACGGACTGTTTTATTAACTGCTGTGACTGAGGATTTCTCGTACCACCTATTAGAAATGTTCCCCTTTATTTCACTCAGTTTGACCGATAACTTTACTCTCAAATATTCATCTCTCGTTATATTATGTACTGGACAAATGCAGATGTTTTACCAAGACAATAAACATTGTATGTAGATCAATTTAATAAAAAGAATAATAATGAATGTTATTGTTTTTCAAAGGGAGGGTGATATTTCAGTCAACGGTAGTAATTATTTTATGGAACTAATAACGCAAAATTGATCTTTCTCAAAACGAGAAATTGATAGCATGTAGACTTAAAGCGTATTTTTTTTTAATAATAACACATGCAGTTGTGTAAACCAAACGTGAACCACCAGCTACCTTAAAGGTATCTTGAATCTTTATTCTATAACACAGATAATAGACCAATATATACAATCATGAGAGACCTAATTTCTTCATGACCTTTTAGTTTTATGTAAAACAAAATTAGGTACCGCTTAATCATTTATATTTATACCACACATGCGTAACATGGTGTAATCAAGGATACATGATAACTGTGTTAAAAGTAGCTCCGAGGCTATTTGAGAAGTTAAGAGATTCGCCTAATTTAAATTTGTAGCTGAAAGGAGTAAAAATGGATATTTTTCAATGGCAAGTGTTAAAATGTCAATCAAGTTTAGTAACGGACGTCTTAAAAATAACCCTGCAAGAATTACAAATCCTTGAGCTACGATCAAATTACCCATGATGCTGCATAATTTCATCAATGTCCGCCAGCGTACCCGCGATAGTGAAACCGATAGTTTGTATAAGTCTTGTAAAGAGGCGATAGAATAGAGTGTGAACACAAGGACAAGGATGTCTACTTTTTTCTGATGTTTGTTTAAAATTTCAACCAATCTCATACGCTATCATTAAACAGACCAGGAAGAAACCCTATCGCTTGGTTAAGGTGTATTTTGTATCGAAACGATCTAGACGATTTATGATTAAAATGCAAAGTGTCTTTTTTTCTCGTGATCTTTCAATCTTTGTCTGGAGTTTTTTTCAGATATATTTTTTTTATCATGGTGCATCACCTCCATTGATTCTACATCCTTCAAAAGTGTCGTCTGCCAACGTGCCAAAACCGGAAACACTAGCTCCGCGGCAAATTGAGTCTTGATTTATGTTCACATTTTTTCTTGTTTGTTGCAAACTACTTCAGATGCATAATGTGAGGTATCGAAACTAAGCAGGTCCATTTTTGTGATCCCCTCGCGGATATAACGTATACAGCAGGGTCTTGTACAAAATTGGCACAAAATAAACAAGCATGAAAACTATAATGATGTTGTTTGATGATGTTGTTTGATGTTGTTGTTTGATGCTGTTGTCTGTATGGACATTCTGTAATAAATCCAGACGAAAATGGATTGTCGACATTTCGTTATGTTTATTGAAAATTATCGATCGTATGCGCGAATAATCTCAATTGGCGAGATATATATATTAGGTTGTAAATGTTTTCTATTTGAGTATTTTATTGGTGACAACTTACCCATGCCGGAGTCTGTAAAACAATAATCTGGGGACTCCTCTAGGTATACCAGGTCCTTCCGGGTCGGGCGTTTGTGGTTCCGGTTAGCTACAATAAGTCCACTTCCTTCTTGATTGATCATCACCTGTGTGGCCCCGTTGTATTTCATTTTTAGATATTCTCCAACACGCTTAAACTGTTGCATGGCCAGCCAGCACGTGCGGACCGTGCACGCGCCGCTGACGCCATGACACTTACACTCTAGCTTCATGAACCGCTTCACCGCCTGAAAGGAGACAATATATGTTGCTGTCATGTTTGTCACTTACCCAGTCAGAAAATATAATATTTCATTCATCATATTTTAACAGAACAACAATAAGACATATCAAGCAGGCCCAAGTTATAATACAAAGTACAAACGAACGATTTGTGTCAATAGACTTAACAGTAAAGAGAGAAAGCAGAAGGTTCCCAAATTCAGCAATGTAGCGTCCATTTCGCACAAGCAGCAAAACAATAACGTTATCGTACGCTATTATACGGAACTTCCTTGTGACTAGATATAATAGTCCAAACCCACTTATAAATTCGACGAATAAAACAGGAATGGGTTCCGAATGTTAAAGCCTCTTTTAACGCCATGGTAACAGGACGTCACTATTCCGTCCTCGATGTCGGCAAGTTAATGCAGTATAAGTATCAGTTAGGTTTTCAGACAAAAAAAATAAACATGTAAAGAACAATTAAAGGCAAAAATAAAAGCAAACATTTTATGTCGTAGGTGGCAGACATAATGTCGCCGTGTATTAGAGTATGGCAATCATATTATAACAAAAGGACGAAAATGTCTCAATTTCCGTTTTTTTCCTGATTAAACCACTTCCAGTTAGAACTGGTTAGCTCTGGTTTTTATCCCGAAGACAGATAAAGATAGTCAGTACTTAAAAACTGTTACCGATTAAGAAAACAAATGGTAATTCTTTGATGTGTGTAAGATAATGTGGGCAATGGTAATCAACTGTTTATTATTCTTAAGTGTGATGACGTTACTTTATCACTAAAAATAGAAACAACCCAAAATATTGAATCATAGATGAAATTATTTCACTTTAGTATTACGGGTCATGGTAATATGACATAAATGGCCTACAAATTAGGCTGAACTGGCGAGACGGGCCAGGGGCATGCATGAAACGTATATTATGATATCAGGGAAGATGGATTACACAGTAAAGAAAACAGTACGGACACGACATCTATTGAAGTGGGTAGGTGTGTTGAAGGGTAGGTCAATAGGAGGCGGATTAGTATTGTTCCGTGTAATTGAATTCTGTCAAAGCGAGACGTTTTTGTTGGACGGAATGCTCCGGTGTCGATATATTCGGACGCATTCCGTAGACTATCGTTTTTACTTTAACTAGATAGGGGAAAATGATTTACCTTCGCTTATTGTTTTCTTTTTATTTCAGATTCCATATTTTAAAATAAGAGTACACATACATTTCGAACTGTGTTATTAAATTTGTGACTTGAGCCTCCCTGATAGAATGACAGTGTAAACAATGAAATCCACCTGACTGCAATCTTATTTGGTGATTACCACCATGTCGTGTTTTTGCGTATGAAGGCAGGTATTATTTCCTATTGTGACGTCATCGGAATTGAAACAATAGATATAGAACCAAGATGAGTTAATTTATGTTTTCAAGCAAGAATGACATTGAAACATGTAGGGACCAAGACGCGCGAAATCATAAATCATGTTTAAAATGGAAACTCAGTTAAGATCTTAAATATAATTGACCCTCTTTCATATGCCGTGTGGATAAACATTAAAAAAAACATGTTTCCTAATTGTCTTTGCCTTGTTTTATTTTTCTTACCCGTCGTCCGGATCGGTTGTTATGGAGATTCATCAAAGCACGGGAATCTTTGATTTTCTTTTCCCTGGCGTCGATGAACATCCGGGAGAAGTAACTCCCCCACCGGACGTTGTCACTACATCCGCCCCACTCGAAGGGACCCTTCCGGTCTGCGCTGTGGCCACTTTTGTTGGGGTCACAACCACACTGGTTCAGCTCCCCCTTGCTGCACGCGCGTGTGATGGCATGAACGACACCGGCTGATGATATGGAATACACGAACGAAGCCTCACGTGTACCTATATATAGAAATAATTAGCATTACAATATGTGTCAATCAATCAAAAACAGATGGGTGTAACATTATCATCATATGACTACTAACGACGATTGCAAAGGGAGACAATAGGGAAAAGGATAGCAACTGTGAGGACAACAGAAATATGTCAGACTCTCCATTGTCCCCGTTGCAGAGAACATAGAAGAAAGGGTCGAGATGAGCAATGTTGTTTTCTGCTTATTTCTAACTTTGTGGTGATACTATGTGGCACATTTGTTTTTTCAATTTTCCTTTTAACACTTTGTAGTGCTAGTATACCAGATAAATTATAACACAACGAAACATGAACATACAATGAATGCAATTAACTGTACATCTCAACAGCCTGGTAACAAAACAGTATAAGTAAAATTTGTTTATAGATTTAAAACAGAATTGCCTAGTACATATTTATTTTTTAACAGAATGATATACTAAATCTTATACTTCTTATGTATCAATACACTGAAAAAATATAGCAAAGCAGTATCCACTACTTCATCAGCCAAAAGCTCGTTACTAGAATCGTCATGGCACTATTGTAAACTATGACCCCATGACCATTACTCCTTGTTTGACCGCCTGTCTACTATACATTTTGACTTATTTGACCCCATGACCATTACTCCTTGTTTGACCGCCTGTCTACTATACATATCGCCTTATTTGACCCCATGACCATTACTCCTTGTTTGACCGCCTGTCCACTATACATTTTGTCTTATTTGACCCCATGACCATTACTACTTGTTTGACCCCCTGACTACTATACATTTTGACTTATTTGACCCCCTGTCAACTATTCCTTTCGCCTTATATGGCCCCACGACTATTGCCTTCGTTTGACTCCCTGGCCATTACTCCTTATCTTCTTGTATATTTGTACTAAAATATTCCGTATTGCAGAGTTATCTGCCCTTGTGAGCAGGTATTGATTGTTACGTCATTTGATTGTGAGAGTAACGTCATCAATTTTTGAGAAAACGACGTAATTTTCTCACACAAACACAGTTTTCCTTTTTGTTATCCCAAATAAGCAATTTGCATAGGCGTGGTTAATTCATTGAAAGTATTATAGAAAAGAAGAATTTATTTAAAAGCATAAAAATATGGAAAAATATCGCAAATTTGTTCTTGATTAATATAGATTAAAAATATATATATATATATGAATCAATACTTAACAGGAAAACAACAGGGAAGAGAAGACCGTATCATCAAGTATGCACATGTTTACATGTTGTCACAGAAATACGGTCACTGGTTCCTTTGTTTTATAACTTACAGCATTAACACCTGTTTAAACTGTACAGAAAGTCTTCTAAGTACACGTAAGTGAAAAATGCTTTTATGTAATGGGTGAATTAACAATTTGACAATGTGCCTGAAGGAAACAATATGACGACCCGTCCAGCCCGACCCTCGCCTACATAAAACAGTCATTACATCCGTGGCCATACCAGTAATATCAAGCAAGAACTAACTCCAAAAATGCTCAAAGTATGTCAAAACGAATGCGTTACCTCAAGCTATATGTCATAGGTAACACAAAGAAAATCTGAAGATCCGTTAATCTGATTGTCAGTAGGTTTTCAAAAATGCTTTAAATTTTTCTTAACATAGTTTTGTATAAATGTTTGTGTAAAACATTTTAGTGAAATTAAATATTGACGATAACGGGATTACGGATATGTCCTCTGGTATTGTTCGACTAGTGTGGATACGATAACACTAGTCTGACTGTGTTACTCATAAGGCTAGAATACAATGGCTGACCAGGGATAAACCAACATGGAGGACTTGACGTTCAGCAGTGTTTTGTCAAATCTTTATCGGCCTATTGAGGACACCACTTTCCTGTAATAACACCTTAAGGATACATTGTAATACCTGTAATTGGTTTAGAAATCTGTTCGATTGGAAAAAGTCGTGGACATGAACAATTTAAATACCGAACCCAGGGAATGGCAACGGATGTTGCGGTTTGGCATCGAAATCGAAAGTGAAATGTCGCATTAAGATTTATTTGAAAACTTAGCAGAAATGTTTAACGTGTTGAAGAACTATTGTCAGAATACAGATATTGAAGTATATTGTCACATATATACGTTAAATGATCGACACAGTCCTCTATGAAAGCGCTATATTGTGGGTGTAATTGTATCCGAATGGTGTTTATTTCACAGCCAGGTGTTAAGGTAAAGCTGTCTTTATATAGAGACAAATGCATCACAAATACAGGTGGGGTGCTAGCAAGTGGTGGACAAACATTTAACGATATATTTGTGTAGTCAATTAATGTCCCAATTTTGTAACATGTTCGTAGTTAGATGATAAGAGATTTACAATACGGGAAGGTTTAGCCTGGGTATTGTCGACAGTATGATACTTGTAAGGGGGTTTATAACACCTACCCGCCAAGGTGGGAAAGTTAAATACCTTCTCACAGGGGAAACACTATTTGTATTTCCTATAATAGTGTAGTTAAGTTAAATACCTTCTCAGAGGGCAAACAATTTCTATTTCCTACATTACCGTTGTATCATACGTATTCTACTGACAACACTGCAAACTGTATCCTCATTTTGAATTATTACCACTTTTGAAAAAAGAAACAACCATAATCTTCATACAAATTTTTGCTTATCAATTACAAAAGCAGTTTATGGGTCATAAGTATTGCCATAAGTAATTTCAGTATCATAATGTTGTAGAGAGCAACACGTGAATGAAAAAAGTATCGATTTGTTAGTACCTCCGAAGACTACTGAATGTATAAAAAATGGTGAAATAGTACAGTGAATGTTTGCCTTGTTCGGTTGTCTCCATTGAATCAACAAGACAATACAAAGGTACCTCCTTACTTTGAATTTCTGATGATTATTCGTCTTTACAGTTGAAACTGTTCCCTAATGAGATCAGAAAATGTTAAAGTGGACTTTTCTGTTGTAACATCGAGTACAGCTGTTTTGTTTGATGTAAAAAGCAAGAAATATTTACAAGCTATTTATAACGATGAGCAATGAAATACCACTCTTAACGTTTTTCTGCAAATGAATAACCAAAACAGATCTTTGGTACAAATTACCAACAAGAAACCTGTTTATTTTATTTACATAAACGATCATGTGTTTTCGTAGTATGTCTGGTAGTAAGTTTGGTGTAGTTATCAATCTGTAGGACCGGCTTCCCTTAATCAGTGACCGCCCTGTCTGTACGGGTAATGCACGTGCGTATACCCATGCCAGCTGCCTATTGTTTGCCTTTGAAGTATGTACTATCGTATCATTATCAAAATGGTCGGGATAATTCCCCGATCACCAGTCCGGATTATTAAAATTGTAGTTATCCTATGTTTCCGTGATACAGCGGATAGATTAATCACCGGGAGTAGTAACAAGCGCCGCCATGATCCAATCTTACTACACGAAATAGGTCGGGATTCATTACGTTTCATATAAAAATCTTTTCCATAGATATTGGGCCTCTCCACTAGACTTACTACTTATCAAACAGCGTGCTGTTAACACCACAATCCCGCGTATAAACCCTTAAGATGAGCATATGTAACGGAATTAAATATCATGAACGATATTATTTTGAACAAACGTTGTCAGATTTCACTGATGCATCCTTTAATCCAAACAACTGTTAGTAGAGACGGTATCGAATTTATCAGGGTATGTTATACTGGTTTCACTATAGTTGTTTATCTGTCTTATACACGATTTGGAACAAAATGTTTTTGAAATTGCACAACTCTTGAAAATAATTCTGTTGTGGCAGTTATATAATTGATTTAGTAATACAAACATTCAAACGTCGATTTCGTTTCCTAATTTTTCGCATTCTTATTTTTGATCAAACTGTATGTAATGTATCTTCGTATTAAAATACAAATGTAAAGCATCCTTTTCGTTGACTCATATCAAGATGACGTCTATGTTGATGGATTTTTCGTAATGGTGAATAAAGAAGATATAATCAATCTGTATATCAAATATACAGTGACGCCATCAGGTCTCATTAACATCGATATGAAATGAAACATCATGTGACGGATAAGATAATAATAAGATATGACCGCTTTCTTAGACTCAAAGTCGCAATTGTGACGCAAACGCAATTAGCGAAGCTGCCAAATATGTAGTATAAAGAAATGCCGATTTATGACCATAACGTCTATGGTCAATCATGGCTTTGTAACAACTAGTGAGGTTATACCATGATAAGTTGTGTATGTTACTGGCCACTTATCAGCTTCTTTAAACTTCTAAGGGAAGCGTTTATACCTGTTCTCCTGTTATAACTCGACAGTTAGCAAGTGCGTTGAGCAGTTTGCAGTACTCGCATGCAATGTATGCTGTAAAAATTGTTCTCGACCTTCATCACAGACACGAAGTAGGCTTGCCGTTATTACATAAAGAGTAGTCAAACACACGACGTCAAACTATCATAGGACGACAGCTCCTGAAATGAGTTGATGTTACCTCGTTTGATACAAGCATAAATAAAGATAATACTTCGCCGCTACCAAACATCACCGGCACCGGCAGGGGAACGTTTCACGAATCACATGTGACACCCGTCATGACCTCTGCCATCATATTCAATAATGATGGCTGGTACCCAACGGACTAGAACAGTTTTTAACTAACAAGAAATTCCACATTCTACAAACTAGGGTGGTTGAAGGAAATACTGACAGCTGTTCATTCTTCGGTTGGAAACCCTAGCTTTATAGTAAGTTTTGTGTTTGCTTGATATCAATCATTTGAAGTCAGCTTTGAATAATTCACCATTAAAATATCTGATATTTACAACCAGCTTCTGAGTAACAAACTGACCAAAACAGCTGATAGTATGTTAAAACTGAGGACAGTCGGTCACACAGGTAAGGAAAAGGAAGCAGTCGTTTTATGAATCAATAACAACAGAATAGTTTTAATAAATATAAAACATATGCAGTGCTGGTAGTCGCGATTTACTGCTTGTGTGTCAAAATATCATAAAAGGATCTAGCGTTTTTCTGATATCGCCACGTGATTTACGTGCGATTGCATGGTTTTGACTTCGTGGGGCTTGCAGGCACTTTGACTGTGGTGGACAATGACAGTGTTGTTGTGGGGTGTAAGCTGTATGCCACCTGGCTAGTGCAATCGGGCCTGCTGGGACCCCCTAAAGATCTCCTCCAGTGACAATTATATCATCTACCCAATCAGATAAGCTCGTTGAAACTGTGACGTCGACACCATCCGCGTCTAAAGTGCCACACTCCACAATTTTCTTCCATAAATCGCGCCTCATAAAGATATTTCTAGACTTCACTGGAATCTTGTGCCAAATTTCTACCGAGTAGGTCCGGTGTTTTTGTGATGTTCTGACAGTTTTGTCTTAACTACGCATGACAATATCTTGAAAACTGCTGATCGGAAACGGAACTATATTACTCACTGTAAAAATGTCCGCTGCCATGTTTTGATGAGGGATTGTGAGTTTACGTTATAAAACCACCAAACCGTCTTAATAGCTTGCTAAACACCCGTACTTTTCCTTCCTAGTTTTGACGAATTTTAGATTGTCTTTTATTGTTTTACAAAAGCCTGCTAGTGTATATCAATCAGAATTTTTTTTTGTCTGATTCCACGATAATGTTCGCTCACAACTGTACCTTTTAACAGGAAAGAAGATTATTAGACAAAGAAGTCTAATTTAAAAAAATGAATATAAATGGTTAAACGATGATTAAGCATTATCTTAACAATGCAATTATTCATTTTTATATTTTCCTGTTTAGCACTTGTCATTTAATCTTATGAAACACACATCAAAAACTGTTACTGATATGACTGCTAATAGATTAAAGGCCTCTTCAACTTATACTACATTTTATCTCTTACATCTGAACGCGTGAGTTTGTCACGACGGGATAAGGTGAAGAAGTTCATACGTTAGGAGGGATGAGGAGGAATGGAGGAGATTAGACTAGGAAGGGATGGGGAGGAATGGAGGAGATTAAATATAGGGAGGGAGCGTCCCTGGTTAGACGGATTAATACACGAAGATAAAAATTACTCCTCATAAAGCTCGTAATCCTGCTAGAATTAATTGCACTTGAAGTTCACTTCTTTAGACAATTATCTCTGTTTGAAGCTATGACTATTTCTTGTGTTTTAACGAATGTTATAAACAGTCTCATATGCTTACAAATTAGTTTTCTTCATCATAAATTGGAGCACTAGATGACGCAGTAAAGAGAGTTCGTCAAATAACCAGGAAACACCGATACTCGGCCAACGGCACTGTCATGGTGACTCAAGCAGGAGAGGTAATGGTTTTAGTAAGTGACTTAGTACGAACGTGAATGAAAGTTTTGCCAATTCTGTAACTGTACAAATGATTATTATGAATGAAAAAGAAACCGAATTAATACATCGTGCTTTGAATTATGTAGTAATTGTCTGTTAATTATTACACCCAAGCTTATTTAGTGCATTTGATGAAAAGGGGCGGCCTAGGCTATTAAGATAAATTTGCATTTCGTTATGAGTCAGTTTTTGAGCCTTGAGGTGTTTAAGTCAGACTTGTTCATATGTCAACAGTAAAAAACTAAATTTGAACTCAAAAGAGTCTGTATGTACATAGAGAACGGTATTTAGTGCATCAGTAATTTAGCATTAGGAGAATTAAAAGTGGGTCTATAAGAGTACAATTCAATGGATGTCCTGGAACTGCTTCCGGTACGAGAGTAAAAATCTGTCAGAGCTCTTTCCAGAGCGCCACTGAGATCTAACTGTCCGTTATTTTTCGTTACGATAGTAAGGCGACAAACAAAGAGAAAGAAATTAAACATTTGAAAGTAATGGTGTATCATTACTGATAACCTACCTTTCAACATGATTTTGCCGAAGACAGACGCATCCCGGTCAAGTGTAGAACAATTCCATCTGTGGTACCGGAACTGGTTTTGACACTCTTTTACTCCCATACGTGCTCCCTCCCCTAAACTGACCATCAGCCTAGGGTGCTCTCTGCACATGCGCCGCTGTTTGCCCACCAGTCCTGGAATGTTGTCACACAGTACCCCCGCCCCAACGGCGTGGAGGGGCAACTGGCTGATAAACCTACAACAGACATCAAGCGTATTTAATATTGATTACATATTTTTTTAATTTTTTTTTCAGATATTAAAAGAACAAAGCACAAACACAAAAAGACAAAGTAAAGCTAGGATTCGATACTAAAAGACTAAAACGGGAATTGCGGGGACTTCGAAACAAACGGAAAGAAACAAAAGAACTTGCAAAAATTCATAAACAAACGGAAAGACATCACCAATCCTAATTAAAAAGCCGGATCCGGATCCAGATCCGACGAACTAAACATCTTGTAGTCAATACATTATTTATTTATTATATTGTATAAAATATATAATTCATCTAAGACGTATAAAATGGTCACATAAATATACGTTTTCGCATAGCCACACGATTTTACAATATATGAGTAGCGCAACACGTTAAACAGTCCCCATTTGTTATGAATGTCTTTAATATTTGTGTAATTTGTGTGTAATTTTCAGTTAAAAGTACGTTTTTTTGTGCTATCATTATCATTTTGTACTTTGGGTTCTTGGTTTGGTTTGGTTTAATTTTGTTTAACGTCCTATTAACAGCTAAGGTCATTTAAGGACGTGCCTCCTTGCGTGTTTTTATGCAGGAAACAGGGTATGTTGGTGTGCATGGCTCCTTGTGTAAGCGCGGATCTGATGCCGATTTTATAGTGTTAGCACACTGAAATGCCATGCCGAAAGCACCCAGTACAATATTCCGCCCGGTCACATTATACTAACAACGGGTGAACCAGTTCTTGCCATTTCCCTAAATGCTGAACGTTAAGCAGGTAATATCAGCTACCATTTTGAAGGACTTTGGTATGTCCCGGCCTGGGGACAGAACCCGTTGCCTTCCACACCTGGGCGAACGCTCAACATTCAAGCCAAAAGAGAGGTGTCACCCAGCGAGGCACTAGAAATTAAAAGGTATCAAGAAGTAGAAAGAAAGATAAAGATATCAAATATTGCAATGGGCGCAGCTGATTTATTTTGATCGCTTTTGTGTCCCAAACAGAGAACATCAGAGCAAATCCCCAATTCTGCAGGGGGTTCCCACATTAGTTGCTTCCTACGATACATGAAGTGGGTAACAGCAGGTGTATTCTTTTCCCGATCCCCCACCTGCAGGGATGTCTTAAGGGTTTAAAACGTTGCTTAACTGACTTGCATATCTCATGAGTACCCTTCACGCTAGGTTATCGGATTTGTTTTAGAACATCTTAGTAGCTATTATTCTTTTTTTATTTAATTTTTCTGTTTTTGAATGACATTTTTTCATCGAGAATTTACGTACTACTTTTAATTGTTAAATAAGTATGTGAAATACGTCTGTACTAATTTTAGACATCGTTTTTCCACACTTGTGCTTTGATGTAGCAGCGCCACACAACACGACATAGAATTGGAATGACCGGCCCAATGTCACACCTGATAGATGCGTGGTATTCTACCAAATCCTCTCGAACTAAGGGTGTAACACTTCGATACAAGTTTTCCGATTAATTTTGTAACAGATACTTATTAATTTTGTAAATGACACCATGCCATATAATTATGTTGCCTTTTACAGGGACACCAAGTACATAGTTTAAGTGATGTCAGCTTGACGTGAAAAAGCAAATTGACTTGGGTATTAACTTAATCTTTATAAACGTTTTCTTCTTTAAAGGAACAGTTCGGTATATAGATATTCGTTTAGTACCTGATGTATACGCCAAGCTAGTTAGGCAGATACGGTTTGTCGATATAAACCAAAGTCTTCCAAGCCGTCCCTAAACACCACAAGGGTATATATTACACCTGTTGAATTAAGGTGTGAATAACTCCGGTATTGACGACCTTTTATCTATATATAATGTATACCTGTAATGTCATTAACATCATACGAATTGACACGAATTACGATTCAATACAGTCACTAGTCACTATAGATTATAACATATACAAGAATATTCAATTTACATTGAACGTGAAAGGTCATTCACTGGTTTATCCATCAAATGGGACGGCAGTTTTCTGCATTTAAATTGATTTTTCTTTTATATTTATTACTAACTTATAAAATAATATTAAATTTATAATACATGTTGTTTAAAAACATAAACCTATCAATACCCTGAAGTCTTTCGAGTGTTCGCATAATAATGGTGAATTACTTTGTCGTTTGAAATGAATTATATAGATTTGGAGGCATTGGCAATTTATCACATATTACACCCTCGATAATCTAACCACCGCAGTTCCCGGCAAAAGTGTTATTACATTGTTAGACAGCTGAATGGACGAGACAATATTTTGCAAAAATGGTCAATATTGGGACCACCGGATTAGTAATGCTTGGATTAACGAGGCCTAGCTGTATTTGGCATTAAGGGAGTTTTACCATGTAATTGATATCAAACCATGTCCTACTTTTTAATGGAATAAAATAATCGCGTATAATAAAACACATAAAAATAACTATCTACCATTAACACCGTCTTCTCGCGTGACTTCCGTTCCTCGGACTTGTATCGTGTAAGCTGTCTTGGCACGTTTTGATATTGCCAGACCTATTCTTACAGTAACGCCAAATAAAGTTATTATCGGTAAGCCATGCAGGCAGTGTGGAAAGAATGGAATCGCAAAATATTTACACGTGGATATCCAATATCAAGATTTTACACGCGCATATATTCAGTTACAAAATGTTCCCTCGTGTATGCTCAGCGTTACTAACAGTGTAAAGATTTGTATAGGTACCTTTTTTTCCATTTTTGTTGTTTTCTTCATCTTTTGACCTTGAAATGTTTACTTTGTTAAAGTTTCTGTAACTACAAACATTCAATTCTTCGCGTTTCTGGTTATCATGGTGTAATACAGCAAATGATGATGTAATATGACTAGATAATGGTGTACGGCAAATAATATCGGAGTAGGACTAAATAATGGTGTACGGTAAATAATATCGGAGCATGACTAGATAACGGTGTACGGTAAATAATATCGGAGCATGACTAGATAACGGTGTACGGTAAATAATATCGGAGCATGACTAGATAACGGTGGACGGTAAATAATATCGGAGCATGACTAGATAACGGTGGACGGTAAATAATATCGGAGCATGACTAGATAATGGTGTACGATAAATGATATCGGAGTATGACTAGATAATGATGTACGGCAAATAATATCGGAGCATGACTAGATAATGGTGTACGGCAAATAATATCGGGGTATGACTAGATGATGGTGTACGGCAAATAATATCGGAGCATGACTAGATAATGGAGTACGGTAAATGATATCGGAGTATGACTAGGTAATGGTGTACGGTAAATAATATCGGAGTATGTCTAGATAATGGTGTACGGTATATAATATCGGAGGATGACTAGATAATGGTGTACGGCAAATCATATCGGAGTATGACTAAATAATGGTGTACGGTAAATAATATCGGAGCATGACTAGATAATGGAGTACGGTAAATGATATCGGAGTATGACTAGGTAATGGTGTACGGTAAATAATATCGGAGTATGTCTAGATAATGGTGTACGGTATATAATATCGGAGGATGACTAGATAATGGTGTACGGCAAATAATATCGGAGTATGTCTAGATGATGGTGTACGGCAAATAATATCGGAGTATGTCTAGATGATGGTGTACGGCAAATAATATCGGAGGATGACTAGATAATGGTGTACGGTAAATAAAATCGGAGTATGACTAGGTAATGGTGTACGGTAAATAATATCGGAGAATGACTAGATAATGGTGTACGGTAAATAGTATCGGAGTATTGCTAGATAATGGTGTACGGTAAATAATATCGGAGGATGACTAGATAATGGTGTACGGCAAATAATCTCGGAGGATGACTAGATAATGGTGTACGGTAAATAAAATCGGAGTATGACTAGGTAATGGTGTACGGTATATAATATCGGAGGATGACTAGATAATGGTGTACGGCAAATCATATCGGAGTATGACTAAATAATGGTGTACGGTAAATAATATCGGAGTATGACTAGGTAATGGCGTACGGCAAATGATATCGGAGTATGACTAGATAATGGTGTACGGCAAATAATATATACTAATGGTAAAATGATAAAAACTGTTATATACAGAATGTAGAGTAAGGATTCGTAACGTATCCCTGATTTCCCGACAGACAAACCTAACAAGTGATTAGTGAGGGCTATCTCACGACTTCTCTGTCTGTAGTCCCGTCACGGCTAATGGCGAACGTGTCTATCAAGTAATGTTGGGAACAGATACAAATTAATTTCGGAGAATACGTTTCACACCTCATTCGAGTAGATTTAGGCTAATTGTTTTGTCAAAGTTTACAGGATAAGACACACGAATTTGGCAAGAATAGTATATACTATTTATATTCTTGTTAAACCACATTATTTTCCATACTATCTCATTGAAACCCACTTCCGTTTTTCGCCGTCTTCGGGTTTTTTCAATCCCAATGTATGCTATCAGTTCATTAGTTGTTACCGACTAAATACAATAGCGAGTGTTTTAATGAATAGCATTGTTAATATTCCTATATGTTCCAGTATACCCACCTGTAGTTGTATTTGTGCATGAATTGTACAGGATTAAAGCTCGAAGTGCCGCATAGCGCAGTACGTATTGCGCCAGTCGATATGGTCTCCAGTTCGATTCCCACAGATGGCGGAATGGCGTTTAGGAGCAAAATATTACCTGGGCTGGGAATTACTGTTCATTGTTGTAGAATCAATATTATGAAGAAGCTGTTAGAAACTCGGGCTCATAACAAGCAGAACACGCATACAACCTCAACGCACTTACACATGTACACCCCAACACACATTGGAGATACGGAAAGAGATCACGAGGTACGAAACGCTTGCCTTCCCTAAGAGTAAATTCATTGGACAGGGTGCTATACAAATGTATCACTATTACAAATCAATCTGTGTTACAACGTTCCCCTATTCTTATCACTTTAACACACAGCCTTCTCTTCGCAACCATCCTTAAAACATTAAACATGATATTCATGACTTTTTGACTTGGGTTGCACGAAATGGGCATAGCTAAGATTTCTTCCGTAACTTAAATTCCACTTACGGAAAGATTAACTGAAGTTGATAAAAGTTCATTCCCTAAACGAAAAGTATTGCTGTCGTTAACTTAAAGTTTCCCATTGGTTAAAAGGGATTGTTAAAGTTAAATTAAAACCCAATAGGAAAGTCCTTACTAAAGTTAACTTCAGTTGTCCATACTGCTGACGTAATCTTTACTGATTTCATAATGGAGAAACCACGGCTGAAGTTAACTTTAATTCCCCACAGACAAAGCATTGTTAGTCCTAAATGAAGATAATGAACGTTCGTGATAATGGAACCTGTAATAATTATGATCTCGAAATAAGATACTTACTATTCGATATTGACGAGCCGATTCGACACCACTATCATGGTGAGTATTTGAGCCATGCCTCTGACGTTGTGTTAATAATGTGATACAGAGAACAGTGTGTGCTTGAGACCAACAGGATCTTCTATAACGCTATGATAGACCACATGTGGTTCTGACGGGCTATCAACAGAATGTGGTCAATGCTCTATAACGGATGTTGACCGTGTTCTAGCCACTATTTAAATCACGAATGTTGGCCGGTCAGATAGACACTATCTAAGGCAGGATTGTTGTCCGGTCAGATAGACACTATCTAAATCACGGATGTTGACCGGTGAGATAGACACTATTTAAGGCACGGATGTTGACCGGTCAGATAGACACTATCTAAGGCACGATTGTTATCCGGTCAGACAGACACTATCTAAGGCACGGATGTTGTCCGGTCAGACAGACACTATCTAAGGCACGGATGTTGTCCGGTCAGACAGACACTATCTAAGGCACGATTGTTGTCCGGTCAGACAGACACTATCTAAGGCACGGATGTTGACCGGTCAGATAGACACTATTCAAGGCACGGATGTTAACCGGCAGATAGACACTATTTAAGGCACAGATAGATGTTGACCGGTCAGACAGACACTATCTAAGGCACGATTGTTGTCCGGTCAGACAGATACTATCTAAGGCACGATTGTTGTCCGGTCAGACAGATACTATCTAAGGCACGATTGTTGTCCGGTCAGACAGACACTAACTAAGGCACGATTGTTGTCCGGTCAGACAGACCCTATATAAGGCACGATTGTTGTCCGGTCAGACAGACACTATCTAAGGCACGGATGTTGACCGGTCAGATAGACACTATCTAAACCACGAATGTTGACCGGTCAGCTAGACACTATTTAAGGCACGGATGTTGACCGGTCAGCTAGACACTTTTTAAGGCACGGATGTTGACCGGTCAGATAGACACTTTCAGATGCACATCTCATCAGTCTGTCTCCGAAGTTTACTTAATAGCGTTGCAACATTTCCGGAACGAAATTCATTGCCTACGAATACGTCTAACAGAACTAAAGATATAATAAAACAGACGGAGCCACAGTTTTAATAATGCCACAGTAATCTACATGCGGAACACTTTATGTCGTTATACCGAACACCCCACCCCTCCGTACTGGTACACGTCGTATCAAATGCAATTCACGTGCTCATCTCTTTTGTGATAAACATGTCAACTACATATATTGTTATACAATTAATTATTGAGAAATTAAACTTTAGTTAATGTGTAATATCAACATGAAATTATAATATTTTGTGTAATTTATTGCTGTTATTGCTGAATATGATACTTGATAGTATTATTTGAGAACGATAACGCTTTGTTCCTATAATGTATCTGAACCACTATCACTGTAGTGTAAAATAGTACCGATATCCTATCGAAAATATAAATGTAGATAAATCGAAGAATGAAAGCAGCTTCCGATAACATTCTACTTCTTTTGATACTATCCAATATCTTGAAAGAGTGGAACGGCATGACTACATCTATTGTTAGAGCACGTACCAAACAATTTATATAAAATACACGCATTTCACGCGCGTGCCTCTAAACCTGGTAATACAGGTTATATATACATGCACTGGATGGTAAACGCAAATAGTTTACGTTTTTCATCAAATCTGTTTAGTTCATCAAGATAGTTGTCATAATTGCTGTGTATGTGCAGATAGACAAAATACATTCATCGGGTCGATAGCAAAGATAAGAGATGTTCTTACCGATATATTTATCTCCACCCAAACCTACAGCAACGTCACATGTACAAAACACAAACAGAAAATGACATCCACTTTAATCTTAAGCAGAAACATAGTTTTATTTAGATGCACGTTCACCGAATTTTTCGCCGTGGTTAAAAGTGTGCATGTTGCACGCGCTGTGGTTGCCCGCCGATACGACGTCCGTTGTTCTAACATGTCCGACGGCCCTAATGGTTAATGACACGCTATTTAGTATTTATACTTTTAAAACGTCACTCCCTATTTCATCACGTTATTCACTTTAAAAAAAAATTCTATTCAATACAGTTTCCCAAATGGCGGCACATTTTCTGCTGATATTGCAGCGTGAAATTTGGACAAGTATCTTAATTCTGTACATATTGTAATTAGGGATTCGTGGCGTTGTTAATTAGCTCTCTTTATATGAAATATGTATTGTCGTACGAAATATCCAGTTGTTCAACGCCGTAAGTTCGATAAAATAATGAATGTTTTCGGTCCCTCTGTTTTCGGGTTAAAACTATATGTTGTTTTAGTCGGGTATACTGATGTTGAAGTTAAATATAGGACAATATAGTTTAGACGACAGTTTTACGTTTTCAAAAAACTATCTGCTATCCTTAAACAAAGACCACCTCACGTTTGTTTCAAAATGAAAAGTCTTTTCCTAAATTTCGATGAAATATTCCGACAATTTTCTCTTTACCCCAGACCCTAGAGTAGCGGACACGTATTTAGTTAGTTCTTGTTTTCTTTCTTCAGTTCAATGTACACTTTTTATTTTTTTCTCAAAATAAGTACGAGTACATGTATATTACGAAGTTATAAATAGTGTACAATGCGTAGCGTGTGTCAAATATATACAATATCGAGTTCGAGTTAGCGGGGTTTTACTGTATATCTGTATACCTTTCACAGACATACGTTGACATGACACGTTTGTTCTTTATATACAGATGTCCTATATGGACAGGTGTGTTTCATAGACACATACAAAATATGTATTTTGAAGAGGTGATCATTCACAGACATTTAAACCCTGATGAAAACACGTGTCCGGTATAGACAGGGGTCACATTACGACTCTAGTAGAGAGACTTACCACCACGTGGCATGAGTCTGTGCTACAGTAAAGAGCACAAGGACACACAGACAGACGATCCGTGGGACTCCCATACCGTACAATCCATTGGTTCCTGGGTATCCTGGAATCATCGGCGGAAACACTTTTATCCAAAGTCACAATCCGGGATAAACTTGATAAAACGCAGAAATGCACCAGGTAATAGCACTATAAACTCCAGTAAAAATGGTTAAAGCACAGTATGAAAAAAATCTTTGTATATTTTCTATTAATTTCTAATTGTTAGCACCTATATGATTTATAATAAATGTAATGTAAGTTTACATAAATAGCTCCCGGTCCTGTTACATCGTTATCCTTTCTCATGTATCACACATGTAAAATAGATCCGAACCCTCGCCATCCTAGAATTTTGGTACCAGTCCATCCTGAGCACTAATCCAGTCACTAGTAAACATAGTTCTTACTTTATTTAACGTAAACCATCATTTCAGTTTTTGAGAAAATGAGGTGGCATTTCTACTGCTAGCTTTACGTATTAAGACAGATTTAACCAATGACATGGGTCATAAGGGCGGGTCTTGGCATGGCTAACAGGCTGCCAATCTCGACGAGTCTTTCTCTCCCGATTGAAAATGTGCTATATGCTGAAACAACATTGGCCAGTAATTGTATAGAGGGGCTCCGAACAATGTGCGGGCCTACCCCCGCTATAGGTCGACACTAGGTTCTCGGGCTATTGTAATTGGCCTCATATATTTGTATTGTTACAGAATACAGGAGACTTATAGGATCAACAATACCGTTTAATCTCTAAATAAAATCGTGCCCTTCTTTAGAAGTTCACACTTGATCCGAAATATAGAGAATGTGTCTGCTGTTATTTCCGTTTTATCAACTTTTTTTTCTCTCACAAAAGCAATGTTCCTTTTGATTATTCTTAATTTTAAGTTTCCTACTTACTTTCTTGTGTTTAAAAACTGTTTCTTTGATATATTTTGACTGGCTTAGAAACACGTGCTGTGTTTAAACGGACACTCGGCACTGTAATGTTAAACAATACACAGAGCGAGCTATTTAACACATTACACTCAATTTACACCATATACACCACCATACACGGGGGATGATTCGCTTCTGTTACCTACTTACAGCGTTCAACAACTCAATTTTTAGTTTCTTTAAAACGACCACAGTATGGGTTAAATAGTCATATGGAAAATCCATTCAGGCCCGTATTTTGTCTGGATAATCAGTTTAATATGCCATATATTGAGTCATTTTTATGGAATTAAATTTTGGCGATTTGGACCAGCGGATTCACATTCAGAACCCCAAAATTTTAATAAAACAAATATAGTGGCAATTTTAGTCTTCGCCTACAATATAGTCTACATTCATAGGAACTATTTGATTAGCAGTAATGTCCATTTTATCAGATATTTTACTTTCAATAAAGAAGGTCTTCGAAACTCTTTACTTCAATATTGATTCGGGGGAAAATGCTTATCTGTCCAGCGATATCATTGTTAGAGTTTACACTTTGGCTATTCCTTTTTACGACAACGAACCCCGAAAATGAATACTGAAGTCTGAATGTAATTAAACCTGATTTCAAATTAAGATAATTAAGATAAAGTTTTTAAGTTATATTTGCATGAAAAATACGAAATCAATATTGTTAAAATATAAGAAAGATAGTATTCATAAAAAAGGTAGGGGATGCCCTGCTCCCGACAATACTAGGAGAAAGCCTCGTTTTACAAGAGCAATGGATAGCCGTGTAATATACCAACTCTGCCAGCTCAGTGCTAACACCAGTACACACACCGAGAACCACATGATTCATGTATACATTCGAAGGTGCATCTCTAATATTTTAATTACCGAGGTGATAAGCTACTGCGCGACGACTGGGTTTATACGCGTGCTCCTTTTTCGCGTGGTGTGTCTATTTTTAAGATTAAGTCAGTTTCAGAAAAGATTCATTGAGATTCTGCGCAATAAATGTCAGAGATTATTTTCCCGCCAAGAGCTGCCGTGACAGACACTCCGCTATTAAGTACAACGAAGGTGTAAAGCACCTGAAGGTGGCCCCTCCTCCCCCTCCCTACCTCTAGTCCCCCTCCTCCCCTCCCTACCTCTAGTCCCACTCCTCCCCTTCCCTACCTCTAGTCCCACTCCCA